TCTTTTGACTGTGGATCTATTTCTATACCTTAAAAACCTCAATTTCTAGATCTCTACTGGGAAAATTTGGGAGTGATAAAAACAGTTCCAAGTTAAAACCAGTCTTCTAGTAATCAAATATTTATTGAACAGAGTTTACAAAGGTACAACAGCACAGCATAGCACAGCATTAGGTCAAAGAAAAAAACAGACAGGAAAGAATTACTAAAGATACTTAAAGAAGCTATACTCTAGTTGAAGAGATACAGAATAACATGAAAAATGTCACATTCACAATTGTTAATTGTGGTTTAAATAATAGTTCCACTGAAGGAAAAATTCCTGGCTTGGACCTTGAAAGACATCAATAATGGACACAAAGAGCAATAAACAAAAAGCAAGCATGGCTGGGAAAGGTTGAAAAGACAGTATTAGATTTTTTTTTCAAAGCTCACCCTAGGCCTCATGAAATCATGCAAACTTCATATAATTCGAAGTTAGGAACACACTATTTTAACAGATCAAGGCACTATTCTGAAAATTTGGGAATGTAAATCTAACTATATGACTGATTAGCTGTCTCACCTAGGAGAAGTCAGCATTCTCCTTTATCTGGAAAAGCACTGGAAAAGGACAATACACTAAAGATTCCCTGCTTTATACAAATGTGACAATCATGACTGCATTCAGGAATCTACCTCTGGTTCACAACAAAAGCAGCAACCTAATTATAAGCTCCTCCTTTTTGTTTATTTTAAATTGTTTTCTCAGACTAATTTTTAAACAACCACACATTTTCATAGGGCAGTGCTAGAATATGCAAAACTTCAATTTGTTGAGTATAATTTATGGAAATGATATAAAGGATACTATAATCTAGCTATGAACTATTCAGAAGAACACCTCTAGAGCTAGGATTAATAAATTAAGTCAGTAAGAAAACATCCCCTAAAAAAGAATGCAAGGGAACTGAGCTGCAAAAATATTGCTGTTTATGTTAAAAAAAAAAAATTAAGACAAAGTTTAGAACTCCGAATGGAAGACCTGAATAGAGATAATGAAAATGGTCACATCTATGCCATCAAAGACCATATACCAGGCTGGGGTTGTGGTTCAGTGTTAGAGTGCTTGCCTCGCACATATGAGGCATTGTGTTCGATCCTCAGCACGACATAAAAACAAATTAAAAAAAAAAAAAGTATTGTGTCCATCTACAACAAAAAGAAAAAAAAAGACCATATACCATACGCACAAAAATATAAAATCAGAGCCAATTGGTACACAGAAGTAACAAAATTTTTAAGGAGCCTCAAATCCTCCAAAAAAACTTTAAAATATAGATCAAAATGCAGGTGAGAAAAATACTACTGTCTAAAAGAGTATCCAAGCCAGGAGAGTGGGCAGCTATAATTCCAGCTACTCAGGTGGACTGCAAGTTCAAGGCCAGCTTCGGCAACCAAATAAGACCCTATCTCAAAAAATACGTGGTGGCATACTCCTGTAATCCCAATAGCTCAGGAGGCTGAGGCAGAAGGATTGCAAGTTCGCAGTCAGTCTTAGCAATAGCAAGGTGCTAAGTAACTCAGTGAGACCCTGTCTCTAAATAAAATACAAAATAGGGCTGGGGATGTGGCTCAGTGGTTGAGTGCCCCTGAGTTTAATCCCCAGTACTGAAATAAATAAACAGGACTACAGGTGAAACTCAGTAATAGAGCGCCCTTAGGTTCAATCCATATTACCACAAAAAAATAAAAGAGTACCCAGCACATAATAAGTATTTAACAACTATTTACTAAACAATTAAAAGAATAAAATCATCTAATTACACCTTAAAACTTTGCACTTTCTAGAGGAAGGTATGTTTAGAAGTACACATTAGTCTGTTAAAAATACGTAGTGAACCTATTAACCAGTAATCCCAGCAACTCAGGAGGCTGAGACAGGATTTCAAGTTTGAGGTGAGCCCAGCCACATAGCGAGCCCCTGAATCAATACTAAAAAATAAAAATGCTTGGGATTGTAGTTCAGTGCTAAAGCACTCCTGGGTTTAATTCCCAGTTTAAAAAAAAGAAAAAAGAATTGTACAGCAATCATCTGGATTTCATCCCTCATCTTGAAACTGAGCTTCCCATGACCATTTATTCTCTTAAATAAAGCCCGTTTCAGAACTAAAAGGAAGCTTTTCTTTAATACACAATGGAATAGTTTAGATTCAGATACAGTGGTTGTCCCACTAGACAAACTGGTTTTGTTCTACATAATCCCTATTTCCTGGTAATATATCTAAACTTCATCTTCCTCAAGGTGGTAAAATACTCCTTTGGTAAATAAAAGATCTATTGAACACATTTGTTCTGAGCAATGGTCTGACAAACCTAGGTCATGTTTTCAGTAAACATCTAACCAGCATACAAGTGTAAAATTAGTGATATCTCTATGACTCAGAACAGATTAAAAACCTATGCAATCAACCGATATAATTACATATAATTCAACTGAGATGACTGAATGTTATATATATAATGCATAACTATTTATACATATGCAGACCATTCAACACAAATTTAATGTAGTATAAATGAGTATATGACATATAATAAGTATTATTGTATATAACATATGGTGTATATTCATGTATAATAAACTGAAAAACAAGGGAAGAAAATAAAGTTCACACAAGTATTCTGAATAGTATTTAATGAAAGGACCTTAGTTATACCAAATGTTTATACCTATATAGTGTTGGACTACCAAAGTTTTGAACTTAAAAATACATTGCAAATAGATGATCAGAAGTGGAAAATAGGTAACTTAGAAATTTCACTTATAACTTCAAAAACTCAAGAAAATTCATGAAATTCAAAAACTCACATTTCAGGAAGATAGTGGTATTTCTGAAAAGGATCTTTCCAAAACTAAAATAATTTTTCCCCTGCAAAGTTTAAAAAAAAAAGAAAATTTAGCATCAGATCACTTCAATTCCCACAACAGAATACAGCTACTTAAAAGTATAAAATATTCAAATTAGCTTTTCCCCCCAAGTTAGTTTTCTTAACTAAAAAATAGTAACGTCACTCCTTTTAGTGAAATTTGATCACAAAGTGCACAATTTTTCCCCACAGGCCACAAAGCAAGGAATTTAGAAGGGAGGCTACTAGGAAGCTCAACCTAAATCTTCATTTGTCTTACCCCTCAATAATCAACTCATTTCCTTCACTCACTGATCAATGCCGAAAAGAACCAATAGAGGTTAGGTGTCATTGTCGGTTGTCCCGCCTCAAATAATCACTCATGTTTAAATCTAAAACTTAACTATTCATCATTAAAGAACCAGGAAAACCCTAAAATTGAGAACAAGTTCTTCACCAAATGAATATAAACTATAATGCATGCTGTATAAATTTACAGTGGGCGAGCGGAGCAAAATGAAACAAAAAAGCCAACGTGGTTTTCACAGTTAATGTTTTTTTTTTTTTAGCACTTCGTGCCTGCATCTAGTTTATGTCCTATGAAGGACAAAATGAAGTTTTAAAAAGTGGGTGGAACAGATAAAGTCCATTTATCTAGTTAATTGACCAAATTTTAAAAATTAGCCTTACCAAATTATATTTTAGAATTCTTTCATTTTTAGTCATTCCGGTGTTGAAAATAGATTTTTAAATACCAAGGATTCTTAACCTTAGAAAAACTTAGAATAACCAATTTAAAGTGAAAATAAAATCGAACCATTTTGAAAGCAGAATTACCCAGGAAAAAAAAAAGAGAGAGAGAGAGAGTGCAGAGGAAAAAAGAAACGAAGACGTCTTTTTACACATCCCTCCTAACTTGGGCTCACTGTACTCTGTAAAACTTCAGCTGAAAAATAAACCACTATCTGATATCAAGTTTAAATCTCTCTCAAGTCAGGCACTGAAAGTTGTTACTTTCTAATGAGAACCCGTTCTACTACTCCTTTGCGCAGCTTAAGTACCCCTGACTTTCCACCTAGCCATTCCACCAAGAACAGCTTTCCGCTCCAGGGAGGTGGGTCCCAGGGGGCCGGCTACACAGACTCTCCCGGAATCCCACCCCTTCGGAAGCAATCTTCTTCCGAACCTTCATGAACCCCTTGGGCCGCCGTAGCCCCACCTCTTGCTCCTCCAGGCTCAGTCGCTCACTACTCTTAACACTCACCGACGGTATCGGAACATGCCACTTGGATCGGTCGGCAGCAGAAACGGGTGCCAGCCCTACGCCGAAAAGCGACAATGGGTACAATTGAGGCCCCAGAAGAAAAAGAATGACAGGTAACACCTGAAGCCACGCAGCTGCCGCCATCTTCACAGCCATGGAGTGTCTACTGAAAGCATTTCACCTCCTTCCGGTTTGTCCCGCCCTCTTCCGGCTCTGCTCTGAGGGCGGGATCATCCGGGTCCTCGAAACCTCGTGGGGCTTGTTTGTTTTGCAACCTAGCGGCCACTGCTCTGACAGTCGTACTAGATCAAGTGTGAGACTTTGGACCTATTGCGCAGGCGTCGTCCTGTGGCAACCTGGTCGGTTTGATTAAAAGATCTCCCATAGCCACTCAGGCGTCCGGCTTCTGCTCTGCAGCGTTCGACTCTCCCCTCCTCCCTCTTGCCCTAACCCCTCATTCCTTCTAAGTCGAACGGAGTCAGAAGCCTGGAGAAGCGGTAATTCTGGCTGCCTGATAGGCGTCCTTTAGCGAGTTGTCCCGTTTGGGACCTGTTTAAGCAAAGGCTGAAATTTGGCACTCGTGTAGTAGAAGCGATTCCTAGCTGGATGGTATAATAAAAAAAATCTTTAAAAGAGCCTTTTTTAGCTACAGGAGTTTGGCCGGACAATCAGCTTCCAGTAAAGACCTCGCCGGTACTTCTCTTTCAAACTAAAATCGGGAAAAGAGTGCATCAGTTTTCAGTATCTTAGCATGACTGCCACTGAGAGAAAACTGCAGCAGCTTTGCTCCAATCTGGAGGCCGTCTCGGTGCTTCCTGGTTCTCACGATCTTGTTTTTTACCCTCTAGGAGTCATTGTATACACGCCTTCTCCACTGCAAACAGTTTCGGTTTCTAATGAAAGCACGGTCCTCATCATTCACCCATAATCAGGAAAATTTTGCCACGATAATACCTGTAGAAACGCTAGTTGCGTTTGAAAAAATCCAAGGAGCAAGAGCCAATATTTGTCATTCCTTGAGAATCTGGGGGAGACTCCATTTACCAGAAACTTGACGATAGTGAAGTGCTGGTCATAATTTTAGAAAGACGACTCCTTGGCTTTTTATAAAGATCGCCCTAGGCCGTGGCCTGAGAGCTGAGAGCCAGTTGGATTGACAGAGAAGTTATGGAAGCAGCTGGGGAAGAGGAAATCAGGTAAAGACCGAGTGCTCTTGCAGGGACTGACCCCAGGGAGGACTGAAAGTACCTTGAAAACAGCCTTCTGGTTTTGAAGTTTTTACTGGAAAAAAAAATACATATATATATATATATGCATTTCTTATTTGAATATTAGGTTGTGTGCTTTATCATTTTTACTCAATTTTGAGGGAATTGGCTAATGTAAATAGCCTCAATATATTTTCAGGATGGTTGAATACAGGATGGTTAATACTGGAAAAGTTGCCAACATAACTCTTAACATATGAATTTTAAGCATGTTGCTTTCAAAGTTAAGTTTATACCCTCCTTCTATGTCATTCCAGAGCTGCTACTTCAAATGTGAAGCAGTGACAAAAGCTGAGTTTAATGAAAGATTTAATTACTTCGTGATAAAGAGAATTTTTTAGTAGAACTAAGGACTAATGGTATATATGTTTTCATTTTTTGAAGTTGGTGTCCAAAAAAAATCATGGACAAACTGACTACAGAGTATACAGCCACACTCTGCATGAAAACTAATGTTTTGTTTTTATAGTTGTTTTAATCAGATGAAGGATAAATTAAATACCCATACTCAAATAGCAGTGTACATCTTGTTCATGTTTTATTCCAGAAACGTTTCTTCTGGAAATTTAGTTTTAAAGAACATTTACTTCTGGGGCTGGGGTTGTAGCTTAGTGGTTGAGTGCTTACCTCACATGCATGAAGCACTTGGTGGCATCCTCAGCATCATATAAAAAAATAAATAAAGATATTTTAGAAAAAGAACATTTACTTCTGGATTGTCATCATCATCATCATCTTAATTAAAAAGCAAAAGATTTTCTTTCTGTGATTGTTTCTAATTCTAGCACTTTGCAATACCTCTCAGAGCATTTGTCAGGTTATATTGTGATTCCCAGTTAGGCTTTTACAGAAAGTATGGACATTGTCCTTCCTATCTTGTCCAGAGCCCAACACCCAGTAAGAATATATTTTGGTGGACTGGGGCTGGGGCTCAGCAGTAGCACACTTGCCTGGCATTTGTGAGGCACTGGGTTCGATTCTCAGCACCACATATAAATAAATAAAGGTCTATCAACAACTAAAACAAAAAAAATTTTTAAATATATTCTGAAAATATTTTGTTGATTAAATAGGTGAGTAGGTGTTTTTTTTGTTGTTGTTGATTTTTTTTTTTTTTAATTTTTGTTTTTGGGTACCAGGGATTGAACTCCAGGCCACTTAACAGTGGTTAAATGGAGCCACATCCCTAGCTCTATTTTGTATTTTATTAGAGAGAGGGTTTCACTGAATTGCTTAGCACCTCACTAAATTGCTGAGGCTGGCTTTGAACTCATGATCCTCCTGCCTTAGCCTCCCCAGCCTCTGAGATTATAGGCATGCACCACTGTGCCCGGCCAATTTATTTTTTTGTGTGTTTGGGTTCTTTTGTTTGTTTGTTTGTTTGTTTTTTTAAATTTTCATTTGTCTTGGAGGGTTTTGTTTTGTTCTTTGCTCTTTCAGATTTTACTGTTGTAGTCATAATTTTAAAAGAACCCTTCCTCATAAGTGACAGTGCCATTTTTCCTTTGCTTTCAGAATAATCCCAGAACTTGATATTTTGTTATTCAATTTGGATATTTTACAGAAGTTTATTCATTCTGCAACACTTATGCCATTGTATTACATGAAGTTGTTGTGAAACAATTTTGCATTGCACAATAGACTCCAAAGGTTTATTTTACATCTTCATACTATAGTTAGAGAAGATACAAAAATTGGATTCACAAACACTATGTAAAATACATTTCTTAAAATGTCTTTTCATTTAGTGTTGAAGAAGAAGCTGTGGATAAAAATGTTTTCAGAGACTGCAGCAAGATTGCTTTCTACAGGTAAGGAAAGTAAATATATTACCTTGATCAAAACATTTCTGGCCAGATGCAGAGGCACACACCTATAATCCTAGCTACCTGGGAGGCTGAAGCAAGAGGTTCTAGGCCAGCCTGGGCAACTTTGTGAGACCCTGTCTCAAAAAAATTAATTAATTAATTAATTAAAGGGCTAGAGGTGCAGCTCAGTGGTAAAATACTTGCATAATATGCAGAGGGGCCTGGGTTCCATCCCCAGTACCACAAAAAAAAATTTTAATTAAAAATTCTGACAATATTTTAAAATTAATGCTATTAACTTTTGAGAATCGATAGGCTTTCTAAGGAAAGGATCAATTAGGAAATGTAATGATTAAAGAATTCTTCAAGGGCTGGGGCTGTGGCTCAGCGGTAGAGCACTTGCCTAGCATGTGCAAGGCCCTGGGTTTGATCCTCAGCACCACATATAAATAAATAAATAAAAGTAAAATGAGGGTATTGTGTCCAACTACAACTAAAAAATAAATTTAAAAAAATAATTCTTCAGACTTTTACCTCTATATACTTACCACTATTTAAATTTTTAAACTAATTTTAAAATTTCATGTCTGACTAGATAACACTTTCATGTAGTTCAAAAGTAATATAAAAAGATATACATTGAAAAGTTTATTCCCACTGCTGTCCGCTTCCACCCTATGCGTCACCTTGTCTCTGTCAGTGACTAGTTTTATTAATTTCTTATTTATTCCAGTAGTTCTTTTTGTAAAGGTACATATTCTTACATCACCCTCTTTTTTTTCTAGTTGTCAATGAACCTTTATTTTTATTTACTTATATGCAGTGCTGAGAATCAAACCCAGTGCCTCACACATGCTAGGCAAGCGCTCTACCACTAAGCCATCACTCCAGCCCCTCACCCATTTTCTTATACCAAATTAATCTCTGCATATACTGTTCTATATATCTTTTTTTTCTGCTTTATAGTTTATTCTAAAGAACCTTGACTTGAGTACTTGGAGAATTTCCTCCATTTTTGTAGTTGCATAGTATTCCATGGTTAGATATACTATTTCATTTGTCTCCTCTTGCTAGATCCTTGGGTTGTTTTCAGTGTTTTGCTATAATAGCACTGAAAGATATCTAAAGGATGGATTTTTAGGAATGGGATTATTGGTTTAAAGTGTAAATGCATTTGAAATGTGGTAACTACTACCAGATTTTCTCTACCAAGATTGTACTATTTTATACTCCCATCAAATTCTATGAGATCATTTGTTTCCCCAGAGCCTCAAAAAGATGTCTTTAAAATCTTTGGTTTTTGCTATCTACTTTTATGTGATCCTGAAACAAATAATAAAAAAGTGTTTTATATAATTTAACTTTCTAATTTATTCACTCTATAGAGGAAGGAAAATTTGTGTGTGTGTGTGTGTCTGTCTGTCTTTGTAGAGATAAATATAGGGCCTCATGCATGCTACACAAAGACTTTTAATGGCAAGCTCTGAACTACATTCCCAACCCAGGAAAGTATACCATTTTTTAAAATTTATTTGATTTGTTATACATGATGGCAGAATGCAATTCATTTCATATTACACATATAGAGCACAATTTTTCAATTTACACTGGTTTTACACAAAGTATTTTCACACCATTCGTGTCTTACATGATCTTAAATGATGGTGGAATGTCTTAATTCATTCCACCATCATTTTTACCCCTTTGCACCCTCCTTTCCCCTCCCTCCCCTTTGCCCCATCTAAAGTTCCTCCATTCCTCCCATGCTCCCACGCCCCTAAGTGCCATTATGTGTCTGCATCCTCATATCGAAGAAAACATTCAGCCTTTGGTTTTGTGGGATTGGCTTATTTTGCTTAGCATGACAACTCCAACCATTTGCTGGCAAATGCCATAATTTCACTCTTCTTTAAAGCTGAGTAATGTTCCATTGTGTATATATACCAAAGTTTCCCTATCCATTCATCTACTGAAGATCATCTAGGTTAATTCCATAATTTAGCTATTGTGACTTATGCTGCTAAGTATACGATTTTAATTCAGAACAGGTATCTTAGAGGGAAGTCTACATTGATATCAAACACCATTATTTGTCAGATTACTGCTAATTACAGCAGTACTATTATTTAGTTCCCTCCCAGTACTAGAAGCAGAAATTCCTGAGCTTCTCACTAACTAAAACCTCAATATAACTTTCTCTGACCCAGCTGGAGGAGGAGACCCAATCCTCTATGAACATTTATTCCAATTCTTTGGACACCCAGAAGTATATACTCTTTTTTACCTGGATTTGGAATTATTTCACATATTATTACTTATTATTCAGGGAAAAAAAAGAAGCCTTTGGTTATATACGAATCGTGTGAGCTATATATCTATTGATTACTTAGGATTTATTTTCTGAACCTACCACATAATTACCATAGGAAATACATATTGATACCTGAGCATATTTTACATCAGCTTCTGTAATTATTTCCATTCCAACAGGGGTTAAAGTGTTTAGCTGACTAGCAACACACACAATAGAAACATTAAATGATCTCCTATAATACTATAAACCCTTGTATTTATTTTCCTATTTACCATTGAACGTCTTATAGGAATTGTTGTAGCCAACTCATCACTAGGTGTTGTTTTATAGGATTCGTATTACATTGTAGCTTACTTCCACTATGTATTCTTCGCATGAGCAGTGTTGACAATTATAGGAATTCAATTATAGGAAGGTTTGTCTACTGATACCCTCTAGTCTCAGGATACACTCTAGATTCTACGTGTGCAAAAAATCCACTTCGCAGTCATTCATAGGATATGCCTGGTCATCTTGTTAAACCATTAGATGAATTTCTACTAGAATCTATTCAGTTGCTACTAAAGGATTTATTTCATGAAAAGAGAGTAGGACATGAACAAACTCATAAATGTCATCTTTGAAAATTACCCCACTTGCTCAATAAAGGAGACAAATTGCAATCCTTAAGCAAATTAAGGATGTTATATTGAAAAATTACATTAATATTCTTATTAGTAATAATTTTATTAGTACTCAAATAATATGTAATACCCTTAATACTTTATGAGAGTACTAGTACTACCTATGCCCTGTTCACTTAATAACACAGTGAATTTTTTTTTTTTTTTGTACTAAGGATTGAACCCATGGTCGCTTTACCCCACTGCACTACATCCCAAGTTCTTTCTGTTTTTCCTTTTGAGGCAGGGTTTCACTAATCTGCCGAGAATCTCACTAAATTGCCCAGGCTGACATTGAATTCATGATCCTTCCACCTCCTGAGTTTCTGGGACTACAGGTGTCTGCTACTACTCTCAGCTTCATAATGCATTTTAATGACTTTTACATGTTAATATATTCTATTGGATGCTTCCAGTCACAAGTAGTCCTCACACATCTTTATACTTCATATTGATAGGCGTCAAAAACAGCTCTCCAAGAATTCTACCTATCGGGCATTATTAGACTCAGTCACAACAGAAAAAGACAGCACCAGGTTCCAAATCATTAATGAAGCAACTAAGGTGAGTTAAAAGTATCTTCTACAGAGAATAATTTTGTTTCTGTGTTCATTTGGGTTGAATAATTTAAATTTCCACAATAGCTAATTAAAATTGTATATCTCCATAATATATTTCATTAGAGAAACAATGTATCTTTTTGTGTCTATACTGATAATATTGGAGGGTACTAGGGATTGAACTCAGGGACAATCAACCACTGAGCCACATCCCCAGCCCTATTTTGTATTTTATTTAGAGACAGGGTCTCACTGAGTTGTTTAGTGCCTCGCCATTGCTGAAACTGGCTTTGAACTTAAAATCCTCCTGCCCCAACCTCTCAAGCCACTAGGATTACAGGCTTGTGCCACCACGCCTGGCTATACTAATAATATTTTAATAGTAGTATGAGGGCTGGGATTGTGGGTCAGTGGCAGAGCACTTGCCTTGCATGTGTGAGGCACTGGGTTCAATCCTCAGCACCACATAAAAATAAATAAATAAAGGTATTCTGTCCATCTACAACTAAAAAAAAGAAACTTAAAATAGTAATATGAATGTCAACATAGATTATCTATATATCAGATGTTTTATAGGTGTTTACAAATATAGTTTCTTTTTAATTAGTCTTCTTAATGCACCTAAGAGGTACATTTTATTATTCCCAGTTATCAGATAATAAAAATTGGATCTAGAAAGTCACTTGCCCGAAGTTATATAACATACAGTTGTTCCTGTAGCCTGAGAAGATTCAGTGAATTTTCAGACTTGAAAATGCAGATGATCAGGGAATAGTAAAAGGACCATTCAGTAGAAAATCTAAGTCACAAGTATCCCATCTCCTGAGCTGCTTCACTAACAGATCACTATGTTTACTACATATAAAAGAATGTCTTAAAATAAGTAGTTTTTCTTACCTGTCAGATCATCGTACTACTTCCCACATGCCACAAAGATGAGCCAGTCATACTGCAAATTGGTGCAGCCAATATGCAAAGCAGTATGGAGATTCCTGGGAAAACTTGGAATGGAACCACCATTTGACCCAGCTATCCCTCTCCTCAGTCTATACCCAAAGGACTTAAAAATAGCATACTAAAAAAAAAAAAAATAGCATACTACATGGACACAGCCTTCATCAATGTTTATAGCAGCACAATTCACAATAGCTAAACTGTGGAGCCAACTAGATGCCCTTCAGTAGATGAATGGGTTAAAAAAATGTGGCATATATATACACAATGGAATATTACTCAGCAATAAACGATAATAAAATCATGGCATTTGCAGGTAAATGGATGCAGTTGGAGAAGATAATTCTAAGTGAAGTTAGCCAATCCCCCCCAAAACAAATGGCGAATGTTTTCTCTGATATAAAGTGACTGACTCATAGTTGGGTAGGGAGAGGGAGCATGGGAGGAATAGACAAACTCTAGATAGGGCAGAGGGGTGGGAGAGGAAGGGAGGGGGCGGGGGTTAGCAAAGATGGTGAGACAGGAGGATTGAAAGTTTGAGGCCAGCCTCAGCAGATGGTGGAATATGATGGACATCATTATCCAAAGTACATGTATGAAGACATGAATTGGTATGAACATACTTTATATACAAACAGAGATATGAAAAATTTTGTTTTATATGTGTAATAAGAATTGTGATGCATTTTGCTGTTACGTATTTAAAAATAAAAGCAATTAACCCCCCCAAAAAAGAAAGTAGTGTACATAAGAATCTTTATATCTCTGCAACTAATATCTATCTCTTGATACCATTTTTCATATTGTGCTAGGTCCATATGAAAGCAAGACTGTTAAGAGACTCAATAGTTTTACCTCAAATCTGTCAATAACTGCAGTGAAACATGATAAAAAAATTTTTTTACACACACACATTAAAAAAAAAAAAATGATGGGCTAGTCATAGAAGAAGTACCATGATCTGTGCTAGGAATTGTGACCATGCACAATTATCGGATGCTCTCAACCTGACCCCTACTTCCACATTCTTCTCCATCTTATAAAAGCATCCTAAGTTTCCAAGTCCTCTAGATCAGTATGAACTAAATGGTAATTCTGTAACTGAAACATACAGTTAAGACTATATGGCCTGGGTTCCCTAAACAGCTTGAACAGTGACTCCATCAACTCACTGTAAATTCTAGGACACTGACTTTTACCTGAAAGCTGTGTGAGATCTCCTTGTAACTACAATAGTTCCTGCCCAATAGAACTCTACTAAAGAAACTCAGAAAATCTCTACTAAAATCTCTACTGAAGAAAATCAGAGGAGGTAGAACAAAAACTACCCACATCAGAGATCTCTATAACATTCGTAACATTTGTAAGACCTTTAATTTAGAAACTTTTGTTGGGATCAGTAGAAGCTCGTGGCTACAGAAAATGCGAAGCCTATCACAGACTTTCCAGGAGTCTTAAAGTCTATCACCAGATATCAGGAACTCTCCTGTCTCATTTTTCTGATCATTTTCTCATTTTCCTTCCTGTCATCAACCTCAAAGAGTTATAGTGTCCATGATCAGGACAAGAATCTTTATCCATCCTTGGGGAGGCTTACTATATTGAGAGTACTGAGCAATCACTATCATGAAGACACACATTGAAGCAAAATCAATAATGCAAAATTACTCAGAGTATCATTGGTGAACCAAAATGAAAATTCTTTTTTTCTGATATCTAGGGGTTGAACCCAGATCACTTTACTACAGAGCTTCATCCCCAGACTTTTTTTACTTTTATTTTTTTTATTTTGAGACAGGGTCTCACTAAGTTGCTGAAGGTCTTGCCTCCCAACCCCAAGTTGCTGAGGCTGGCCTCAAACGTTCAATCCTTCTGTCTCAGCTTCCTGAGTTGCTGGAATCACAGGCGTGAACCACCATGTCCAGCTATCAAAATGAAAATTCTCAACACATCTAGAAACCAATAGTTAGTGATAGACCCTCCACATATGCCCTGTATATTACTGTAGATCATTTTCTCTCTTTGGATCCTGAACATGTGAGAGACTGCTGTTCAGGTCAGTTGCCAGCACCAAAGTGCAACAGATCTGGATGCCTTTAGAGGAAAAGAATTTATAGTACAGGAGGACCCTCAGGATCTCAACACAGACAGCATTTGGCTCACAATGGAGCTGAGGAGCCTGAAAGCAAGGACAGATTAGTGGACCCCTTGGAACAGACTCTATGTTCAGGTGTTTGGAAATATCAGAACTGCATAAGGAATCTGAGTATTCTGAGTTCAATCAAATTTATATTCTGAGAAGTCACTCTGAAATTTGGGCTGAATTCTTATTATGTCCTCCTTATCCTGTAAGTTGAGAACACTAATAGAAACTTAAAGTTTTATGCCTTATGTTAGTCTCATAGGAATGATGTAGATCCAGACAATAATCTTTAAAAGTTGTCAGCTCCTTGTGTTCATCTCATTGCATGGAAATAGAATCTCCATCAAAGGTTGTTTCTGGGATGAGATGATTGTTGTAAGGGGATTGCATATCAAGATATGGAAGCAGTGTTGTCTGGATGTTTGAAATAAGCATACATTCACTTAATAAGAATGTTAGTTTTTTTAAAAATTCAGATTCAGAAAGACAGGTCCCAAAGTCTAAGAGGATCATATTCAGCTCACAGCTGAAGTTCTCAAATTGCACTGATGAGGCAGATTCTGAAAAACACAGCACTCTCAGTGCTGGATTGCCCCCTCTCCTTTAAAACCCTTAAAGCAGTAACTTCAGATTTGTCAGGATTTGTTTTTTGTTTATTCCTTCTTCCCAATTCTCTTTCCCCAGTCTGTCCCTTAATAAACAATTAAGAAACAGAATCAAGCTTCATTCAACATTGTCTTTTTTTATTGCTTGGGCCATCATAACAAAATATCACAGACTGGGTGACTTAAACAGACATTTCTTTCTCACAGTTCTGAAGGCTAGAAATTCCAAGACAAGACAACATTCACTGTGATGGCCCTATTCCTGGCTTGTAGAAGGCTGCTTCTTCCTCACATGGAGGATAAAGACAGAATAAATTCTGGTTTTATAAAGACACTAATCCCATTTTAAGAACTCCACTCTCATGACCTCATCTAAGCCTAATCCCTCCCAAAGGCTATGTCTCCAAATAACATAACATTGAGTGTTAGAACTTTTGCATGCAAATTTGGGTGTTCACAGTTCACTCCATAGCATATATGATGTTCCTAGGATACAGTAATGTTACAAAACAAACTGAAGTGTTGATCTATATATTATCATCAGGTCAGGACATCCAGACTTTGAAGAGAAGCTGGTAGCAGGATCAGATACTGAATTTTTCTCACATAGGGTCCCAATATAGTATTGTTCTTATTCCTAAAGACAGAATAATCAAGTAGCTATTTGATAAAGAAACATCCAGAAGAAAGTCTGGAAGGATAATGATCATAAAAGTGTTGACTGCTGGGCTAGGGATATAGCTCAGTTGGTAGAGTATGTGCCTCGCATGCACAAGGCCCTGGGATCAATCCCCAGCACCAAAAAAAAAAAAAAAAAAAAAAGTGTTGACTGCTGTTTTCCCCCCTACTATTATCATTTTTTTTCTTTTACCTTCAGTGAATTTTGTACTTTCAGTGTCCTAGATTGAGAAGCAGAGTTCTAATCTTGTGACATTGATACAAGGAAAAATGTACTTGTATTGTGAGTACAACTAGCAAGGCTGTCAGGAGCAGATCTTTGTCTTTAGCCTACTTTATATTGCTAATTTTGATGTTTTCTTATAATATGGGTGATCATTTGACAACATAATTTACTTTGCAACCTTTTTGCAAGATTTCACGAGAGACAGCACTTCTCTTTCTCCAAGGATGCCATGATATTTCTGAGCACCTCCATGAAGTTACTCCTTACTTCTTCTAAGCAGAACAAAAATGAGAATTAGCCTATCTAGTCATATCCACAGCAGATGAAGCATGGTTATCACTTTTTAGCAAGTGCTGTTTCTGCTGAAATGGCCAGGAATAGGCAGCAAATTTGGTAAC